GGGTCCAGCAGCGCATGTCCACCCCTTGGACCATGAGCACCCGTGTCTAAGACACCAGTTGTTCCCAGCTGCACTGCTCCTGCCTGCAACTCACTGCAGACACCCCCGACCAAGGCGTGGTCCCTCAGGCTGTTGCACGGGGCTGTGGCTTATGGGGTCCTGCTAGGGCAGGCGTCTGTCGGTCCGTGTGATCATCTTGAAACCCACCCTGACTCCCCCTCATCTCCAATTACTTGGGAAAATCAATCACCTCAGTGTCGTTTCTTGGCTCTGAGGGTCTTGTTTTATCAGCAGCCAGAACACAACGGAAGGGTCATCTCATCCTTGTGGGAAGGGACGTAAAACACAAACCAGTGGGCCGGCCACGCTCCAGCCGTGACAGGCACCCTGTGACCTCCAGCCCTGTGATGGTGACCCTCCCACCTGGGCCCCCCAAAGTGCTGGGATTACAGGCATGAGCTGGAAATTTATTATTTTAATGAAGACCAACCTATCAATGTTTTCCTGAATGGATCATGCCTTTGGTGTCATATCAAAAGAGTCTGCCAAACCCAAGGTCACCTGGATTTCCTCCTATGTGATGTTCAAGGGCACTCAGGTGCAGACGCCCCAGGAAAACAGTCTTCATTCAGCCCTACGGCCTGATTAGGTGAGTGTTGATTCCAGGAGAGAAGGTCTCAAGTCAGACTTGGCGGAGAAAGGGTTTCTACACCCCAGCATTCCTTACACAACCCAGCCAGCCTGGTGCTGCCCCACAGGGCTCACGCCCCAGATGAAGACAACAGGGGCCCAACACAGCCCACTGAAGAGGGGTACAGGGCATCCAGGATGCAGGGCAGGGAGAGAAGTGAGGGTTGAGTCACAGATGCGTCCCAGCTGAGGCCAATGGGGCGCTGAATGGCTTTTCCTGCACTGGCTCCTCCCATCTTCTCCCCACTCCAAGGACACCTTCTCTGGACATCACGTGCTCTCCGGCCACAGACCTATCAACATTCTGACAGCTTTCTGATCTTGACCCATTATGCTTTTAATATATTGCCGGATTCGGTTTGTTAGTATCTCGTTAAGTATTTTTATCTCACAGGGGAAACTGATCTGAATCTCCTTTTCTTGTAATGTCTTGGTCTGGCTTTAGAACACTGGCCTTTTAAAAGGCCCCGCAAGGCGTTCCACGCCATCTTCTAGCTGTTCTTTCCTTCCTACATGCCAGATAGAATTCACCCGTGAAGCTATCTAGGCCTAGACTTCTTCTGGGAAAGTTTTAAATTTCTAAATCAATTTCTTAAATAGATACAAGGTTACTTATATTTTCTATTTTTGCTGACAGTTGTGGCTGTCAGGCACTTCATCCATTTCCCGTGGCTGTGGAGCAGGAGCATCAAGCTTTAACTACATCCCACAAATTCTAATGTCATGTTTTTATTCTCATTCAACTTGAAAGATTCTCGTTTCCCTTGTGCTTTCATCTTTCTCAAGATGCTTTTTTTTAGAGGAGCTTTAGGTTCTCAGCAAAATTGAGAGGAAGGTACAGAGATTTCCCTACTCTCTGCCCCAACAAACGCACAGCCTTCCCTATTATCAACGTCCCGCACCAAAGTGGTGCTTTTTTGAGACAGGGTCTCGCTCTGTTGCCCAGGCTGGGTAACATGATCAACATGCCCAGATCATGTTGTGCAAGTGGCATGATCACAGCTCAGTGCAGCCTCGAATTCCTGGGCTCAAGAGATCCTCATGCCTCAGCCTCCCAAGTAGGTGGGACTATAGGCACGCACACCCACTCAGTCCCAGAGCAGCCGATTTGTTACAGCTGATGAACCTACATGGACACGTCATTACCCAAAACCCACGATTTACACTGGGGTTCACTCTCGATGCCCGGGGCCCACACTTTACACTGGGGTTCACTCTCGATGCCCGGGGCCCACACTTTACACTGGGGTTCACTCTCGATGCCCGGGGCCCACACTTTACACTGGGGTTCACTCTCGATGCCCGGGGCCCACACTTTACACTGGGGTTCACTCTCGATGCCCGGGGCCCACACTTTACACTGGGGTTCACTCTTGATGCCTGAGGGCCGACAGTTTACATCGGGGCTCACTCTTGATGCTGCACATTCTCTGGCTTTGGACAAATGTACAATATCCTGTATCTGCCATCACAGTGTCAGGCTAGAGTAGTTTCACTGCCCTAAAAATCCTCTGTACTCTGCTTATTCATCCCTCTCCTGGCCCTAACTCCAGCATCCACTGGTCTTTTTTTTTTTTTAAGTGTTTTTACAACTGACTTTATTACTGTTTCCACAGTTTTGCCTTTGAGGATGTGATCTATTTGGAATCACAAAGTATGCAGCCTTTCCAAACTGCACAACTTTTTCACTCAGTTATATGCATTTAAGGGTCCTCTGCGTCTCTTCACGGCTTGATAGCTCATTTCTTTTTAGTGCTGAATCATATTCCACTGACTGCCCCAAAGTTTATTCACTCATTCACATACTCATTCACCAACATTTTGGTTGTCCTCACATTTTGGAAACTATGAATAAACAGCTATCAGCATCTGTGTGCAGGTACTTGTGTGGACATAAGTTTTCAACTCCTTTGGTTTTAAATACCAAGGAGTGCAACTCCTGGATATATGGTGAGAGTATGTTTTGTTTTGTAAGGAACCACCAAGCTGTCTTCCAAAGTGGCTGTATCTACCCAAGTTATCAAAAGAGAAAGGAAAAAAAAAACAGAAATTAAAACAAAACAAAACAAAGTGACCATACCATTCTGCATTCCCACCACCGAGTTCCTGTTACTCCACATCCTCACCAGCATTTGGTGGTGTCAGTGTTCTGGATTCTGGCCACTCTAAGGGGTATACTGGTAGTTTTAATCTGCATTCCCCTGATGACACATGATGCGGAATGTTTTCAAATGCTTATTTAACAACTGTGTATCTTCTTTGGTGCAGTGTCTGTTAGGTCTTTGGCCCATTTTTAAACCAGATTTTCTTACTGTTGGGTTTGAAGAGCTCTTTTGGATACTGATCCTTTGTGTTTTTCAAATATATTCTCCCAGTCTCTGACTTGTCTTTTCATTTTCTTGACAGTCTTTGCAGAGCAGACACTTTTAATTAATTAATGTATTTACTGAGACAGGATCTCCCTCTTTCACACAAGCTAGAGCACCATGGCGCAATCACAGTTCACTGCAGCCCCGACTTCCCAGGCTCAAGTGATCCTCCCACCTCAGTGTTCCAAGTAGCTGGGACAACAGGCACTTATCACCAAACCTGGTTAATCTTTTTATTGTTTTGTATGGATGAGGTTTCACTGTTACCCAGGCTGGTCTCAAAACTCCTGGGCCCAAGTGACCCTCCCACCTTGGCCCCCCAAAGTGCTGGAATTACAGGCATGAGCCAGAAATTTATTATTTTAAATGAAGCCCAACCTATCAATGTTTTCCTGCATGGATCATGCCTTTGGTGTCATATCTAAAGAGTCACTGCCAAACCCAAGGTCACCTGGATTTCCTATGTGACATTCTAGGGGTTTTATAGTTTTGTGTTTTACATTTAGGTCTCTGATTCATCTTGAGTGTGTCTAGATGTGAAGGGTATGTCAAGGTTCACTTTTTTACAAATGGAGTTTGGTTGTTTCAGCATAATTTGTGGAAGACTGTCCTTTGGCCATTGAATTGGCTTTGCTCCTTTGCTACTGATTTTCAGTTCAGCTTAAGTCTCCTTGGTGGGAAGTACGCTCCGCGTGACGTCAACTTAAGTCCGCTGTGGCGGGAAGTACGCTCCACGTGACGTCAGCTTAAGTCCGCCGTGGTGGGAAGTATGCTCCGCGTGACGTCAGTCCTTTCTGGCATCCTGAGACTCATCTCCTGAGCCGCTATGGTCCACCTAAGCACACGGGCCACAGGCTCTTGAAAAGCGTGTGCTTCACCGTTAGGTGAAGTATCCTCTCAATAGCCCATGCCTGTGTTGGTGGTAATGATGTTGTTTCTCCCATTAAAATTGTGAATTTATGTCATGCTCTTCAATTCTGCAGTTTTGTTCATGTATTTTGAAGCTGTTATTAAGTGCATATACACTTAGGATTGTTACGTCCGGATAAACTGATCCTCTTTTCATTATTGTCTCTTATTTCTGGTATCATTCCTTGTCCTACAGTCTATGCTGATATTAAAAATATCAAGATTCTGAAACTTTACATCATAGCAAACAGAGAAAGCCTACGATGGCACCAGGGAAAAGACTTCAGGATGTTCAGTATCTGTCCCTGATAAAAATAATTTGAACTCAAAAATCTTTAATAACTTACTCAAGATAGCAAACTTGATTTTTAATCACATTGAGCCAAGTATCCCCTCAGACAGAAGCTGCACAGGCGCAGCCGCCATCTCTTCCTGGTCGTTTCTTTTGCCAAGAGCACATCACGGTGATGAGTCCTCTACGACAGGTCACCCTCCTGGCACCCAGAGACGCCGACGGGGGAGAAACAGACTCCTCTGCATTATGATCCAACTGTGAACAAGAAAGCCTCTTTGTGGGACAGAAAAAATACACTCGCTTTAAACAACAGACTGAACACAGATGTGATTTATAAAGGAGAAGACAGGGCAGGACAGTGACACTGAAGTCCTGCATGTGTTAGTAACACTGAAGGTGGCAGGGAACCGCTGTGTCCTGTGACTTGAAGGCCACTATGAAGGAAAACAATGCAGTGAAAGAAAGTTCCTCCTATGTGGACATGCCTCTCATTTATTTTTCTAGATATGTCTATGGGCTTTAAAAGATATTAAAATAGGCTAGCTATTATCTCTTAAAAGAGAGACATATTTTCCTCGGATAACTGGAGGCACGCCTGTGACTCCTCACACTACTCCTGTTCCCTGAACCAGGCTGGGCATCCCACTCATTCCACAGGCGGCTGAGGCAGGACAGCCAGAAACCCCAGACCTGCCATTGCTCCCCAGGTTGAAAGAAACAGCATGACAGCCTTCTGCTAAGGGCATCAAATGTCTGTTTATTAAAGTAGTTGTTCATAAAAGTATAAAGATGGATTTACATTTCATTTCCAGAAAACTGTTATTTTGTACAGTGATCTGGCCGTGGCTAGGAGGCCCAGGGACAGTAGCCGCTGCTCCAGGCAGAGTCTGGGATTCACTGTCTGTCCTGTTGCTCCCCCAGGTGGGGAGAACACATGGGCTGAAGAAAAAAACAGCACGTGCAAACCTGACAGATGCCAAGGGTCCCAACACAATTCCTTCAGCCAAACTAAACCCTAGTTTCAAGATGTGTAGGAAAGTGTTGACACTCTACAGGAAGCTGCCTGCACGTGCAGCCAACCAGGCCCTGCATGCTCCAAGCAGGCAGGCGAGTCCCAAGGAGAGTCAGTGACAGCACATGGGGCAAGGGAGCTGCGCAGGAGACCCCAGAGGGCATGGAGCCTGGGTGAGAGCCCTGGACCCCGCACCAAGGCAGAGGGGTGGCCCTGAAGGACTCTAGGAAGGAAATGACAGGCTCTGAGGGTGTCCAAAGATCTCCACTGCCTGAGGGAGGACAGTCAGCCAGGGGGAGGGCCCAGGGGCTGCCACCTGCCCAGGAGGTGGCAGGGAGGGGAGGAAGAGCAGATGAGGAGGCGTAGGGTGTGCCCTTGGCAAGGCAGCAGTGGTGATGAAGTTCTCAGTGACTCCTCCCAACGGCCAGGGAGAACAGTGACAGTCTCAGGGTGGCTCTGAGCACGTGAATGGCTCATCCACATCAGTCAAAGGCATAGCCAGGACCTGAACTTCCTATCGTAAGCCCTACATCCATGCAAGCCAGACCAGTGGGGTCAGAAGCTAGAAGGGAGCTCAGAGGATCACCCAGAGAAGCCTCCCCCGACACCTGGCCCTCACTCCAGCCCAGAGCACCTGCCTGGGCATGAGACTGGCGGCAGCTGTAGGGGAGCCTTGGGTATATATGCTATGCCTCCAGGGTGCCATCCTGCTCAGCCAGCCTAGAGTGGTGACAGACTGGGCGCTGGCTGTCCCTGTACAGAACAGTGCCCTGAGATAGTGACCATGACTGCTGTCTGCCCCTCACCCCTGGTTATGCTGTGCCTCCCAGATGCATTTCTGTCCATAGGGCCACTATAAACCCTGTAGGCACCTCACAAACCGCATTCCACGCGGGTGAGTTCACGACCCACGGGTATGGAGGCTCCCTGTTAAACAACCTCGGGATGCTCCCTGACACCCCCACCAAATGCAGGCAAGCTCACGACCCAGGGGCATGGGGTTCCCTGCTGCACAGCCTCGAGATGCTCCATGAGCACCCCCTGCACTGGGCTGTTCACGGATGTGCACTGTACATGCCATTGTCAGAATCGCCCTTGTGTCTGTCAGCCTGGCAGACAGAAGGTGCAGGAGCAGCCTGCCCAGGGCCAACCCCAACCCAGAGCCCACATGACAGTGCCAGGTAGGAATCGCACAGGTGCAGCTGTTCCTCTCCCAACTCTGCTATTGGTCAGAAAAACCCTGCTAGCCTCACTCCCTAGGGAGGCCGTGCCCAGAGGCAGTGAAAGGCACTGTGCCTCCCCAGGGCTGTGGCTCCTGTGCCCCCTCCTCACCCAAGCCTGACAAGCCACTCTCAGAAATGAGCCTATGGTAAAAATCAAGAGTCTAAGCCACCCACCCTGTCCCCATCCCTGCCTCCAGCCTGGTCCCCAGACTCATGTCTGTGAGGCAGAGGTTGAGGGGCTGGAGCCAGAGACAGGGTTATGGGAGGGCTCCCCGACCCAGCCAGGACCCCTTGGCCTTACTGGACCACACAGACGGCACCCAGCAGGCGGGCATGTTCTCAGGGGTGGCCGGCAAGAGCTCTCTCAGGGTAAAGCTGGGAGAAGCGGCCGAGGGCCCAGATGGGGAAGACATTCCTGTAGCTCGTGTAGGAGATGGCACAGGACTTGTTGAAGACCCCGGAGATGTTTTCCTGAAAGAACACAGAAAAATAAACACAAAGGCTCCACCGGTCAGCTGAGGGCTAGTCCCTGAACTGTACCCTGGCTGCTGGCTTGGCTGGCTTGTGGGTAAGCCTGGGAAGGGCTGATAATCGAGAGCATGGGAAAGCAGGCAGTCCATCCCACGTCAGTCAGGCACCATCAGCCGAGCTCAGACTCCCCGTCCTGCAGCAAACTGAGCCGGGGTCACCAGCCCCTCATGACCAGGTCAGCTTCCACCAACTCAGCCTCATCCCAGGGGAGGGTAGTTGGCCTTACATGATCTCATGACACCCACACCACAGGGATAAGCAGAGGCTGCCTCCTGCCCTTCCGGCTCAGTGAGGGGCCACCAGGTCGTCTGGAGCCGGAGGGTCTGTCCTGGAGCAAAAGGGCTTCCCGCCCACTGGCTTCTCCCATCCAGCTCCTCCCCCAGCCAGAGCATCACTTGCAAAAACAGCAAGACCTGGACTTTAGGACCCAACAACCTACCACAGACCTGCCACCAACTCTGGCATTCACTGGCAGAGTTGATGCCTCCCAAGCGTCCAAAGTACCCCAGAGAAGACACAGGGCAAGGGGACGTGGAAACAGCCACACACGATGGAGGCTGGTGCTGGGCCTTATGCACTCAGGCCCCTGGTGGCATACCTGGGGCCAGTCGCCGTTAGGGAGCTGTTTGTCAAGCAGACACCGGACTCCTCTCTCCTGGGCCTTGATGTCAGGATGCCTGGCGGAAGAGGAGGCTGAAACACGCCCCCCGAGCATCACCCTCACCCTCACACGGCCAAGTCTAGGGACAAACCCTGGAATGCTGCAGTGAAAATGGATGCACCTAAACCGACATCTACAGGCCCCACCAGGTGCAGTCAGCACCTGGGGCTCCTGCCGCACCTTTCCTAGGCTCCCTGAGAAGCGGAGACACAGTGATAACAGGTTGGAGACACAGGCCTCCTCAGGCCTGCCCTGGTGGCTCCAGCACAAGACGCTCTTCTGTGCCCCCCAAAGAGGAGCCCAAGACTGTTCCCACCCAGCCCACTGGTCTTCACGGTCTTCTGGAAGCCACAGGAGCTCACACTTGCTTGCTGGCCAGGATGATACCAAGCAGGACCCAGGGCTCAGTGGACCCAGCTTAACTGTGGGTCCCTGACTAACCTGCCCTCAGGGGTCCCCCAGACTCTGCTGCTCCTGCTCAAACAGACCTGTTCTAGCTTTTAGGAAGATTCCCCAGATGGCCACAAACCTAATAGGGCAGCACAGACGGGATGCTGTGGGTGCATCTGTGTGTGTGGGTACACAGGTGCCTGTGCACGCATACGTGTGTGCATAGACCTATGTGTGTGTGCATCTGTCTCCATGTATGTACCTATGTCTATGTGCGGCACAGATGGGATACTGTGGGTGTGTGTGTGGGTACACAGGTACCTGTGCATGCATACATGTGTGCATACATACTGTGTGTGTGTGCATCTGTCTCCATGTACGTATGTCCGTGTGCAGCACAGATGGGACGCTGTGGGTGCATCTGTGTGTGTGTGTACACAGGTGCCTGTGCACGTGTACGTGTGTGCATACATACTGTGTACATCTGTCTCCATGTGCGTATGTCTGTGTGTGCACATGCACACCTGCATGTGGCTGCGCATGTGTGCACCAGGCACATATGTGGCTTGGCACCAGCTGTGGACACAGGAGGGCCATAGAAAGCAGCTGCCACTGCCGCCATCACTACCACACCAGGAAGCAGCATCCTCATCACAGCCCACCTCACCGTTTCCAGGGGTCCCTGATGCCGATGCTCTGCCACCAACACTGCAAATGGTGGGTGGTTCACTTTTAAGAGGCGAGCCTCTCTGCAGGGCCCCATGTGGTCAGAGCGACCCATCTCCTTGCCCTGGGAACCTGGCACGTGGCTCTGGTAGACGTCTCTGTTCCCTGAGTGGCAGCTGAATCGCCTCTGGCCCACAGGCCTCCCCTACTCCTCTCTACATTCACTCAGCCCAGGCCACTTGCTCACAGCTGAGTGTCCCTCCTCCACCCAAACCCAGGGCTCAGGGATGGGGCCCATCATCCCCACCGAACGGCCATCAGCCCCATCAGGGCCCAGCAGGTGTTGTGGATCTGGGACTGGGCGCTCTGCACGTAACGCCGCTGCTCGCAGGACTCAAAGTCCTCCCCCCAGCCTCCGTCTGCCATTTGCCGGGACAGCAGGAAGTCACAGGCCCAGGAGACCTCTGCACAGGCAGTCCTGTAGAGACCAGAGACAGTAGACACCATCACACCAGGGAAGGTCCCAGGGAAGGGCCCCTAGTTTCTCACCCTGGCAGGCTGCCTTAGGGTATGGGGAGGAGCCTACACTACAGGGTCGCCCTATGTGAGGGCCATGGACCACTACTGAAACCCCTGAGCTTGACTTCCACAGATGTGAAGTGGGAGCAGATACTCCTGGCTCCCAGAGTCATTGGGGTGACAAAGGGACATGCGAGTACTGCAGATGGCCGCACAGACGTGTCAGACTGAGTGCGGTCTGCAGTGCTTGTGAGCAATGCCTTATAAGCTGCACCCAGACAAGCACAGTGCTCCCCACCCCCAAACACCCACACGGGAAAGAGTGGGGCAGCTGGAGACAGGGCTGGGACCGGAGGCCTCTTGCCTTCTAACCTGGTCTGGGGGGACCTGGACCCTAATCTTCCTACTCAGGGTTGGGAGGCATCTGTGTGCCTGGAGGGGCTGGAAGCCAGACGTGTTCCTCCAGCACACATTTCAGGAAGCTCTGGAGAGCTGTGGGACCAGGGAAGCATCCTCATTTCAACCTGAGACCTTGTCTGAGAAACCGATCTTATCTCACTGTTTAAAAATATTAAAAAACAGGCCAGGTGTAGTGGTTCATGCCTGTAACCCAGAACTTTGGGAGGTCGAGGTAGGAAGATTACTTGAGCCCAGAGCAGCGTGAGCAACACAGCAAGATGCCATCTCTGCATGAAAGTTTTAAAAAATTAGGTGTGCAATTAAAAAAAAAGAAAGAAAAAAAAATTAGTCAGGTGTGGTGGCGTGCACCTGTGGTCCCAGCTATTTGGAAGGATCGCTTGAGCCCAAGAGTTCGAGACTACAGTGAGCCTGGATCATGCCACTGCATGTCAGCCCTGTTGACAGAGTATGACTCTGTTTAAAAAAAAAAAAGAAAAAGAAAAAACCACCCCTATAATCAAACATTAAAGCAAACAACAGTCATGTCAGCGGATTGGGCTGAGAACCCCGCCCACCAGAGGACCGGCACTCACTCACTCACCCATCTCGGTAGCTCTGCCCCATGCAGGCAAAGGCCTCCAGGCCAAACCAGGTGCCGTAGGTGAAGCACACCCCCCAGGACCTGGAGGGAGACAAGGAGAGCCTCAGCCCTTCAACCCATGTTCACAGCCGGTGTGTGAAACCACAGGCATTCTGTGACATTCACACGTGCCCCAGCCAGCCCACCAACTCCAGTGCCTCAGGTGTTAGGGCCACGGAAGACAGCAGCTCCATCTGCTGGGCCCACCAGCCAGACACCCGAGAACAAGCAGTGAGGGTGGAGGGGAACAGCCACACTCAGGCGACAGTGCACATCCAACACAGGCTGGCTGCACTCAGCAACATGCTGAGCAATTTCACCAAGGCAGAGGCCAGGCATGCCAAAAAAGGAACAAGGTCCCCCAGAAGTCATGGCCTGGCAGCTCACTTCCAGAAACGTCTGGTGCAGCACCAACATACCACCCAACATTTATGAAGGCAGTGTGTGAGAGTAGAAACCTCTGGATCCCACGCATGTCTGCACTCATGGGCGGGGCTCACTCACCCTTCCCAGGAGCCGTCTGCCCTCTGCTGCCGCCGACAGAACTCTAAGCCCTGCTTGAGGGTCTCCCTGGAATACATGAGATTGGCCCAATGAACAATCCGGCAAAACGGCAGTTTGCCTATCCCAATGCCACCCATTTCAGGGTCTCAAAAGAATGAGCATGGTCTCCCTTAAAAACCACATAAAAATAAACAGTTTACACAGACCTATGAGGGTTTTTAAACAAAGCAACTACAGGACACCAGAGCGGGAAGCAGACTGGCAGAGTCTGAAAAAGGGATGGCGAGGAAAGCAAGGCCTTGGGAAGAAGCCCCTGCAAACACGGCTGCAAACAGGAGCAGCATCACTGAGACCCAGTGGCCCGGGCTTGAGCAAACCAAATGAAGTGAACTAAATAAGAACAGGAAAAAATCACTTAGAGAGAAAACAACAGATTTAGAAGACAAGGAAGACCCATCCCAGATCTAACTGGTATTTCTAAAAACAACCAGTTCTCCAAAAAGGCTGGAGTGAAGTGTCTATTCTGGTGTCAGCCTGCAGGATGTGAGACTCATCTTTAACCAGCAGATCAAGCAGGGCTGATAGGTGTCGGTCCTGGGACTAAGGTCCACGTGATTGCAGCTCTCATCGTGCTCACAAACTCCCTCTACCAACTCTCTCTTCTGGTTTTTGTGAGATGCCATCTAGAGAGGCCCCCGCAGCAAAAGGCAGTCAGCAGCTTCCAGCTGAGGAAAGGGATCCTGCTGAGGACCCCGTGTGCTCAGAGGCAGAGCCTTCCTCACTGGAAGCTCAGGCGAAACCCCAATCCTAATACCTGACTGAAGCCTGGGGAGACCCTGTGGCCAAGGACCTGAGAGGTGCGCCTGGACTTCTGACTGACAGAAATGGTGAAGTAATAAATGTGTGTTCTTCTAAGCCACTAGGTTTGTACTAACACTGTCACCAGCAACAGGTGAAACAAAGAGTCAACAAACAAATTAATAAAAGCAATAAAAGAAGTGACAGGACTACACTAGATACGGTGAGACATAGAACGTTTTACGTATTACATTTGAAAACTTAGACAAAATGTACAAATTAGAAAAATTAACTTATCAAAACTGCCTCAATCAAGAAACAGAGAACCTAAACAGTCCTAAAACTACTAAAAGAATGAGTCAAAATCTAAACTTTTCCCAGAAAAAAACCTCTAGGCCTAGGAATTTTTAAGTGAATTCGACTAAATTATCAGGCACACTCATTCAAATCTCACACAAACTCTTCCAGAGAATAAGAAAGAGGAGGAACATTCTCTAGTTCATTCTAGGAACCCAGAGAAATAAGATATGGAAAAGTGAAATTTTCAGGCTACTTCACTAATGAACACAGATGCAAAACTCCAAATTAAAACTGAGAAACTGAATACTGTCTTAAATATAGACCAATACAAAGGTCTATCTCAGAAATACAAAGGCGTCTTAACATTAGAAAAATCCATAATAATCCTCTACAAATTAACAAACGACACAAATATATAATCATCTCAAAGCAGACAGGGCAGTTTGAGACCAGCCTGGGTAACAGAGCAAGACCCCATCTCTATAAAAAAATTTAAACCTTAGCTGGGCACAGTGATGCATGCCTGTGGTCCTAGCTACTCAGGAGGCTGAGACAGGAGGATTCCTTGAGCCTAGGAGTTTGAGGCTACTGTGAGCTATGACAGCACCACTGCACTCCAGCCTGGGCAACAGAGGGAGACCCCATCTCTTTTTTTTTTTTTTTTTTTGAGACGGAGTTTCGCTCTTGTTGCCCAGGCTGGAGTGCAATGGCGCGATCTCGGCTCACCGCAACCTCCGCCTCCTGGGTTCAGGCAATTCTCCTGCCTCAGCCTCCTGAGTAGCTGGGATTACAGGCACGCGCCACCATGCCCAGCTAATTTTGTGTATTTTTAGTAGAGACAGGGTTTCACCATGTTGACCAGGATGGTCTCGATCTCTTGACCTCGTGATCCACCCACCTCGGCCTCCCAAAGTGCTGGGATTACAGGCGTGAGCCACTGCGCCCGGCCAGACCCCATCTCTTTAAAAAAAAAAAAAGAAGAGTCAATTGTTTTCCTACAAGCAATGAACAATTAGATTTTGACATTTAAAACACAATGCCATTTACATTAGCTCCAAAAAATTGAAATCCTTAGGTATAAACAACAAAATATGTACAAGATCTATATATGATGACATCTACAAAATTCTGATGAAAGAAATAAAAGATCTACCCAATTTGAGCTATAGATTCGATGGAATCCCAACCAAAGTCTCAGCATTTTGTTAATATCAACAGACTGATTCTAAAATGTACAGGGAGAGGGAAAAAAACCCAGAACAGCCACTGCACTGTTGAAAGAGAACACTGACGTGAGAACACTGACACTAATTGAGTTCAAGGCCTTCTACAGAGCTACAGGAACCGAGACAGGGTGGTACTGACGAAAAGAACAAATAAACCAATGGAACAGAACAGAGAGCTCAGAAATAGACCCACGCAAATGCAGTCAACTGAGTTTTTACAAAGGAGCAAAGGCAACAAAATGTCACAAAAAAAGTCTTTTCCACAGATGGTGCCAAAACAACTGGACATTCACACGCAACAAAATCTAGACACGAACCATAAACCCTTCACAACAGTGAACTCAAAACAAATCATGGACCCAGATGTAAAACGCAAAACTTAACAACTCCTAGAATATAACACAGGAAACAATCTAGGTACCCTTGGGCTTGGCAGTAACTTTTTAGATACAGCACATGATACATGAAAGAGAACACTGATAAGCTGGACTCCATTAAAATAAAAACTGGCTCTGCAAAAGATACTATTAATAGAACGAAGAAACAAGACACAGACTGACAGAAAATACCTGTGAAAGACATATCTGATAATGGGCTGGCAGCCAAAATATACAAAGAACTAAAACTCAACAATAAGAAAACCCAATTTAAAAATGAACCAAAGACTTTAACAGACACTTCGCTGAAAAAGATATACTGGTGGCAACTACTGTATGAGATTTTAACAGAATGTCATTAGGGAACTACAAACTGAAACAAGGAGATAGCACTACGCACCTCTTAGGACAGCTAAAACCCAAAACACAACACCAAATGCCAGTGAGGATGTGGAACAACAGGAAGGCTCATCATTGCTGGTGCAAATGCAGACGGTGCAGCCACTTTAGAATACAGCTTGGTAGCTTCTTACAGAACACGCTCTTACCATGGGATCCAGCAATCACGCTCCTTGGCATTTACCCAAATGAGCTGAAAACTTACATGCATGCTAACATTGATAGCAATTTTATTCATAGTTGCCAAAACTTGGAAGCAAGTAAGGCATTCACCTCAGTAGATGAATGGATAAACTGTGGTACATCCAGACAATGGAGTATTATTCGGCACTAAAAACAAACGTGCTATCGAGCCAGAGAAAGACAGTGAGGAACCTTAAATGCTTATTATTAAGTCAAAGAAGCCAGTCTGAAAGGCAAAACTATAGAGACAGTAAAAATATCAGTGTTTGCTACTAAGGGGTTCCGGAGGTGGGGACAGGGGATGATGGGTGGAGCACAGTGGACTGTGGGGCAGTGAAATTACTGCGTGACACTGCAATGGTGGACACATGCATTACACATCTGTGAAAACCACAGAATGAACAACAGAAAGAGGAACCTGAATGTAAACAACGGACTTCGGATGACAATAATTTATGAATGTTGACTCATCAACTAGCAAATGCACCAATTTAATGCAAGATGATAATATCAGCAGAAACTTGGTGGAAGGTGGGAGGAGTTAGTGGCTTTATGGGAAAATGGCATCTTCCACTCAAATTTTCTGTAAATTTAAAACAGCTATAAAAGATAAACAGCATAATTTTTTTTAAAGTTTAGCAAATTGTCTAGCTATGAGATCAGTATCAAAATCAATTGCATAAGAATTTATGAGTCCACAGTGATAATAAATAAGTAAATAAACAGAGGCAAAGGAAAAGCTTTTGGAAGAACATCAACTAATACATATGGAAGGAATGACAATTTTGCAAGCATTATGCAAATAATTGATTCAGGCAAGAAACATCCACAAATGCTAACAATAACAGGTATAAGTCTGATGAGAAATAAGACATTTACATAGCCTAAAACTGTCTCCCAATTAAAAAAAAACCAGCAACTTCATAGTGGAGAAACTAAGTACAGTGGTGATCACCGTCATCAAGGGATCAAAGTGGATGTGTGCTTTCTGGTAGGATGCAGGAGAAGGCCCCACTTCTTCTGCAATATTCCTGACAAAAATGTACAACTTCATAAACTGAATCTAATCATGAGACACCAGGAAAAAAAAAGAAAAAAAAACACTGAGAATATTCTACAAAATAATTTGCTGAACAATTCAAAAATGGCATGGTCATCAAACACAAGGAAAGACTAAGGAATTATTCCAGGTTAAAGGAGTGTCAATGTTATAACTAAATGCAACCCATGTGCACAGTAAGAAGGATAAGGAAAAAAGAAAAAGAAAAGAAAAATAATTAAAAATAAATAAATAGGCCAGGCGTGGTGGCTCAGGCCTGTAATCCCAGCACTTTGGGAGGCCGAGGTGGGCGGATCACGAGTTCAAGAGATCGAGACCATCCTGGCCAACATGGTGAAACCCCGTCTCTGCTAAAAATACAAAAAAATTATCTGGGCATGGTGGCACATGCCTGTAGTCCCAGCTACTCGGGAGGCTGAGGCAGGAGAATTGCTTAAACTCGGGAGGTGGAGGTTGCAGTGAGCCAAGGTCGTGCCACTGCACTCCAGCCTGGCGCCTGGTGACGGAATGAGACTCTGTCTCAAAAAATAAATAAATAAAAAATAAAAATAAATAAACAAATGCAACCCTAATATCGGAGTAAAGCTTGAGGAAAAATTTTGCCATAAAGGACATTATTGGAACAATTAGGCCAATCTGAATAAGGCCTGCAGATTAGTATTTCATCAACATTAACATTCTGACTTACACTTGCACAAAAGAATACACCTGCTAAGAAATACTCAAGCAGTTAGAAACACAGTACATCCTATCTGCAACTTCTCCAATGGTTCAAGAAAGAGTATCTGTGGAGCACGTGGGAAGGAAGGCAATGAATCCCACAGAGTAGAATGCCACCCACTAAGGAATCCTAGTAAGATGAAACAGGAGCACTTTTTATTAATTTTGCAACTTTTCTATAAATTTGTAAATTTAGGGGAGAATTTAAGTCTGTGTAGTAAAATAGAATATTCCATATAAACAGTGTTAAAGTAACTGGCAATCCCATACTGTATCTCAAAAACTCTCTAGGTAAATTTAAAATCTTTTTTTTTTTTTTTTTTTGA